GATATACCAAAACTACAACTTTATAATAAGGCTAACCATCTTTGTAATCCCATTATCTAAGATGCTAAAATATGACAGTTAACTTTTTTCCAATAAAATTTTATGGTCCATGGATAAAAAAGATTCATATACAGAATTACACATGCCAGCTCAACTGGTGAAATGCATTATGAATCCAAGTGACAGATGTATGTGCACACAGATAGTATGTATACATATTCCTGAACAGTTAAAAATTTATATTTATAAAATGAATAATAAATATATAAAAAGATCCATTCCTCACTCATAATTTAAAATGTTCAAATTAAAATATTTCTATCACTTTAACAAAAATGTAAAACACTGGTAACACTTGATGTCAATCTAGAAAGATAGGTACACTCAAATATTGGTAAGAGAACTGATATGATTTTTAAAAACTAGTACAAAACCATCAATTAAAATTAAACACACACATAGAGATGTATATATCTGTTAGCCTAGCAATTCCATTGTTAGTAATTTAGCATTCCTAGAACATGTTTGTTTATACATGGATATTCGCTGAAAAAAAGGTAAATGTTCACACATGTGGAATTTATTTAAATAAACTATGATACTATCTAAATCATAGAAAATATATGGTTATGACAAAATGAGACACTACTACATCACTAAAACTGAGATATCTATAAGATAATGTAATTGAAAAATGTAAACAGTAATTTTGTATAGCATTATCTTACTGGTATTAATTTACAAAAGAAATGTACATGCCTATATGGATAAACTGTAAATGTGAGATGATAAACTAGTGATTAATTCTGAACGAGAAAGTAGCATTCAGTGGTGTGGGGATCAATTTTTGTTTTCATAGATGCAAAGTTTTAACTAAATATATTACATTCAAAACCAGGAATAACCACGGCTATTTTTACTTCTTGGTATGTACATTTCTGATTAAACTTGTTCATCTTTTATGGGTAAAATATACAGTGCTAAAATTTTTTGATTATTTTTTACTATCAAGTATTAATTGAACATACTCAACTAGTAAGCACTAAGAGTTGATAATCAATTATTGAAAGTTGGTGAAGACTGGGAGCATATCACAGCCTTTCCAAGACTTGTAATCCAAACACTTAGAAAACAACGAGGCAATTAGAAATTACAAAGGTAAAACCATAACTGAAAGTGCCAAAATGAGAAAATTGTAAGAAACTACTTTGAAAACTTATATTCTAATAAATTGCAGAGCCCACAAGAATGGAGAAATTCCTATACACGTAAGAATTACCAAAATTGAACCAAGAAGATAAAAAAAAACTTTGAATATAACAAAAGCAGGCAATGAATTTGAGGCAGTAATGAAAACTACCAACAAAGAAAAAGTCCAAGACCCAAAAGAATCATCGCAGAATTTTACTTATTCCAGGAAGCTAGCATTACCTTGATACCAATGTTGGACAATGACTTTAGCAAAAAACCAAATCTACAGGCCAAGGTTCTTAATGAAGATAGACTCAAAAATCCACAACAAGATATTAGCAAACAGAAAGCATTAAAAAAGAGCATACATAAGACCAAATTGGGAATATTCCAGACATGGAAGCATGGCTCAACATTTGTAAATCAATAAATGTAATAAATCACATCAATAAAAGCACAGATAAAATTCACATGTTCATCTTAGGAAGCCCTTTTACAAAATTCAACATCCATTCATGATAAAAATCCTGAAGAACATAGATATAAAAAGACCTTATCTCAATCTGTAAAAGCCACATTATGACAAACCCATTGCCAGCATCACAATTAATGGGGAAACCAATGAAAGCTTTTTCTCTAAAATCACGAAGAAGGTGTCTATTCTCACCACTCTGTTCAATGTAACACTTGAAACTATAGCCAGAGCAATCAGAAAAACAGAAAAAACAAGCAAACAAACAAAAAACCCCCAAGGAATATAAGGAAAAGAAAAAATCATCCATCCCTATTCCTAGATGGAATGATCCCTTTACAAATGACCAAACAACTCATCCAAAAGATTTCTAGAATAAATTCAGCAATGTAGCAGGATTAAAAAAAAAAAAAAATCACACAAAAATCAGTCTGGTTTCTATGTAAACAAAATGAACCCGCTGAAAAGAAGTTAGAAAAACAATCTCATTCACAATAGCATCAAAAAATTAAAATACTTATTGATGTAACAAGGAAGTGAAAGGCCTCTATAATAAAAGGTATAGTATCCTGAAAAGACCTGTGTTCCTGGGCTGAACCAATACTGTCAAAATAGTCATATTATTAAAACGGATATAAAGGCTCAGTGGAATCCTACTTAAAATATGAACAGCATTTTTTCACAGAAATAGAAAAAGAACCTAAACCACCCTAAACTATATATGTAACCAGAAGACACTCAGAGTGGTACAAGAAATCCTGACAATAAAAGCAAAGCAGGAGAACTCACAATTCTGGATTTGAAGTTATATTACAAATCTACAGTGACACAAAGAGGCATGTTATTGACACAAAACCAAACATCAATTAATGAGACAGAACAGAAAATGTAGAAAAGGGGCTAAAAACATACAGTGGAGAAATAAAGCCTCTTTGACAAACAGTGCTGGGAAAACTGGTTATCCACAGGCAGAAGAATGAATGTAGCCTTGTATCGCATACTATATACTAAAATAAAACCAAAATGGATCAAAAACCTAGATCTTAACACAGAAACCATGAATCTCCTGGAAGATAAGTGAAACTCTCATAGAAATAGTCATGGGCAAGAACTTTCTGAACAGTACCAAATGTACAAGAAATAACATCAAGAATCAACAAATGTGATTATATCAAATTAAAAACCATTTGTGCAATGAAGGAAACTAACAACATGAAGAGATAAACTACAGAATGGGGGAAAAATTTTTTTTGCCAGCTACTCCCCAGGCAATAATATTAGAATATATAAAGAACTATAAAAATAAGACTCCTAAATGAAAGACCCAATCAAAAATTGAAAACTGAAATGAACAGATACTTCTTGAAAGTACAAATGGCTACTTTCATAAACAATGAAAAAAAATGTCTGGCCATTCAAGGAAAGCAAATCGAAACAACACTGAGGTTCCATCTTCCTCCAGAAAAAATTGCTGTCACCCAACACTCAAAAAATAACGAATGCTGGCACAACTGTGGGGAAAAAGGAACCTTTCTCCATTTTTGGTGAGAATGTAAACCAGTAACTAGAATGACATTTCTTGAAAAATTAAAAACAGAAATTTCATTCAACCCAGCCATACTTTTTCTGGATATATTCCCCCAAAAGTTAAAGACATCACATTTCAGTGATATATGCATACTGTTATTTATATTATTTATTTATTTATTGAGATGGGGTCTTGCTGTATATTCCAGGCTGGCCTCAAACTTGTGCTTCTGCTGCCTCAGCTTCAAATGTTTGTGCCACCACATCCAGCAACAAAATCTTATTTACAGCAGTACAATTCACAATAGGTAAATCTTAGAAATAGCCGATGTGTCCATCAACTCATGAGTGGATAACAAAAATGTGGTGTGTATGTACAATGACGTACTCCTCAGCCACAAAGAGGAATAACTGAGTCATTTGTAGGAAAATGGATGCCCTTTGAGACCATTCCTAAATAAATCAAGACATAGGTTAAACATTGCATGGTTTCTCTTATATGAGGTTTTTCGTATATGAGAAATCCAAAATATAAATAATTTGAAGAGCAAAATAAAAGACAGTTGATAGGAAACAGAGAGTCAGTCCTTTTGCTTATGGGAAGGGGACTTATAGAGGAGGGAGGGAGTAGTAATAAAAAGGACTAAGGTTTGATATGCATTTGTACCAGTTCTCCAAGATGAATTGATTATATAATATGAATACAAACTAATAAAATGTAAAAAGAAATTAAGAGACACTTACTTGCCAGGCAGTGTCGAAATGGAAAGACTGTGACACTACATATTTTTTAAAAAATAGACAAAACAGTAAATGAGTGAATTAAAAATGTAACTTCATCAATGAAGAGTGCTACAAAAAAACGAATTGTGACAGTGGTATTTTAATAAGTGCTTTAGCTTAGGCACAGCTGCTTTACCAGCAAAGAGCTCATGCAAGATACATGATATGGCACCTTCATGCTACGGGGAACCAGCCATGTGTTCAGACAGGGAAGGCAAAAGAACCAAAAAACCCCGAGGTACAAATAAACAGAAAAAGGTCAATATGGTCAGAATTAATACACTTACCATGTACCCGGCATTACTGAAACATTTCCCAGCTTTTAACAGATAACACTGTTATCCTCAGATGTTAAATAAGGGCAGGCAGAGATTTGGCATGATGTGGGGTCGGAGCAATAGCCCAGGCAAGGATACAGTAAGGGACCTGAATTTTATTTCATTGAAATGAATTCACTGAAGATTTTAATAATGAAGTGACCTGACCTAGATTATTTCATAAAGATTCCTCTAGCTGTGTGCTGAGACGTCTGAATGGTGCAGAAGCGGGAAAGGCAACTACACTATCCTAATAGTCCAGAACAGAGGTGATGGTACTGGTAGAACAGAGACAGAAAGAAGCAGATGTGTTTGGGTTTATTTCCAGAATAAAGCTGACAAAGTTTGCTCATGGACTTATGTAAGGTTGGCAGAGAAAAGTTTAAATTATTAAATCTTTGGTCTCAAAAGCCGGGCGTGGTGGCACACTCCTGTAATCCCAGCACTCGGGAGGCTGAGGTAGGAGAATCGTTTGTAAATTCAAGACCAGTGATCCAAAGGCCAGCCTGAACTGCGTAAGGAGACTATCTTAAAAAGACAAAACAAAATGAAACACACCTTTAGTCTTTTTGTATTATAAAATAAACAGCTGCAGAAGTTTTAAAGAAATAATACCAGATTAAATTATCGAAGTCATATGTGATAAATACATTCAATGATCCTTTATTTCTAAAATACTATGTTCCTACTAGGAATTTTAAAATACTCACATTTCTTTCTACTTCAATTAATCTGTCTTTAACTTTCAGAAGCTCTCTAGTTGTTTCTTGACTCTCTCTCTCCCATTTGTTGTCTTCACCAGATACTGGAGGAGAGCTCTGCACCATCCTTTCCTCATCTTGTCTCTGTTTCAGGCCTTCATAGTTTTTTTTCACCTAAAATTTTATTTAAGACATTTCAATGGGAAGAAAAATCAGTATATATATATATATATATATTTTTTTTTTTTTTGGTACCAGGAATCAAACTCATGACTGCACGCTTGCAAGGCAGACACTTATGCCGCTGAGCTAAATCCCCAGCCCTAATCAGTTATATTTTTCACAATTAATTTGTCTCTGCATTGGTTTGGTGAATGTGAGCCATTTTCATTTTATAATGTGATAAATAGTAAGTCTGATTATCATGATTATTATCAATTTAAGCTTTAAAAAAGCAAATCCTTTTTTGTTAGAAGTATTAAATATACTGTTGCTGTGGCATATGCTGCTGCAATATGTTATATAATTTCAAATCCTACTGTTTATGATGAAAATGGCCTTCAAGAATAGATTAACTGGGCAGGATGCCACACACCTATTATCCCATCTACCTAAAGGCTAAGGCAGGAATAATGTGTAGGTTCAAAACCAGCCTGAGTAACTCAGTTATAATCTGTCTCAAAAATAAAAATAAAAAAGGCTGAAGATGTAGCTCAGTGGCAAAATGCTCGACTATGATGTGTGAAGCACAATTTTATACCACACACATGAAAGTGTCCCACACATTTTTTATTTGTGCATATCTGAATTTAAGTTTTACTCATGTATTCAGTGCACTGTTTTTTTCCCCTATCGCTGTGTTGTCTTCCGTTTTATGGTTATACCAAAAGTTAAATATTCAATTATCATTGGACGCTCACTGGGTATTTTCCAGTTTTTAAAATAAATTACGACAAATCAAAGTATTATAAAAACTCATATGAGGCTTGATGTGGTAGTGCATGCCTGTAATTCTTGCACTTCAGAGGCTAAAGCAGGGTACTAAAAAGAGTTCAAGGCCAATTTGGGCTACATAGTGAGTTTAAGGCCAGCCTAAATTATGTTGCAAAAAATCCTAACCATTAAAAAAAAAATTCCACAAAATACCCTTAATCTATGTTTTCATTTTCATGGAATAAACAGAATTGGTCATTTTTACAGGCTACGTAAAAAGGCTGTATGTCTACCTTTATCAGAAACTATCATATTTGTTCTCCTTCTCCTCTCTTTCTCTCTCTCTCTTCTCTCTCTCTCTCTCTCTCTCTCTCTCTCTCTCTCTCTCTCTCTCTCTCTCTCTCTTTGTCCTAGGGGCTAAACTTTGGGCTTTCACACTCAGCTACGTATCCAGCCCCTTTTATTTTGAGACAGGATCTCACTACCAAGTGGCTCAGGCTGGGCTAGAACCTGTGATCCTCCTAAGTTCTGGGTTTACAGGAATGTGCCACCATACCCCATTTGTAATATAGCTTTCTAAATTAGTTATACCATTATACATTCCCACTAGTAAGTATGACAGTCCCAGTGTTTTAAAGTCTCATGAATGTAAGATCAGTATTTCCATATAAATTTTAGAGTTAGTATGTGTATATACTAACTCTTGGATTTTGTTTAGGGTTATGCTGTATCAACAGATTTGTTTAGGGAGATCTGCCCGTTGACAGTACTGAGTACTCCAATTCATGGACAGAATTTAATAGGGTATTCTTTAGATATTGCTAGTATAGAGTTCCGCTTTACAACATTTAAAAAAAATTTTAGTAAATGTTTTAAAGATTTGTAGTAAGAGTTCTTACATGTGTTTCCTTAGTTTCATTCCTAAGTAGTTAATGTTATTTTACAGTATTATAAATGCAGTTTTAACTTGTAATTTACAGCTTTTCACTGATAAATTCACTTTGGCTATACAAAGTTTTTCATTAAGCCTCCTAAGTGCTGGGATTACAATTGTACACTACCATGGCTGACTGCAATGAAAATCTTAATATAATCTATGTCTGTACAGTCATCAGAGGTAATGAATGCTGTAAAGCATGGGGTCACAAAGCCAGAGCAACTCCCCTAGATGAATCTAATTTCACATCTGAAGCATTACTTGGCGGGAGGGTGATTCTTCAGCAGCTTTGTGAAAAGGGATGCATAATACAGCCCTGTTACCTGTTTGTATTTTCTTTAGTGTTCTGAGTAGAATAGTTTTAAATGTAGCCTACAATAATCTTTTGGCTAAATGTTTAGTTGACCTTAAGATAAGTTCTAGGGCAACGCTGAGATCATAAAAGGAACAATAAACCAGATCAGGACTGTATCATGGGCCAGGGATTTAGCTTAGCAGCGTAATCGCCTGCCTTGCAAGCACATGGTCATGAGTCAGATCCTCAGGTACCAAAAAAAACAACAGACTGTATCATGGGCTAACCCTATGGAATGGAAAAATCTCTTACATTTCAGTTATTTACTCAGAGAAAACAGACAGACTTATTTCACTAAGTAATTCCTTGTGTGCCACCTGCAAACAGGCTTAGAGATCATCTCATACTAATGAGAGCTTTTCTTTTAATACCATACATTTTCTTCTACTTGATATCCTCAGTGACATCTTTACCAATCAAAATTTTATCTGGCTTCTCAACAGGAAGCATGCCAGAGTGGTATTTCTATCCCACTGTTTATTTAATGAAATAAGCCTGCCTCTTCCTTATCTCACCCTTATAATTCTAGTATGTTCTTATATTAGAATACACCCTTATAATATGTTCTCAACTGCATGAGGGACATTACATGCATGGAGCAGGACTGAATGAATTAATTAAAGTTTGTAACCCTTATATTAACCACATAACAAAGATCTGTTTAGGAATGCTCTCAAATTTATGAAAAGGAAAAAACAGAGTAAATGATGTTTCTATTTTTATTTTCTATTTTACACATTTCTGTCCAAATATTTATAAAATAAATAATAATTAACATTATTTCCCATTAAACCACTTACTGTTTTAAGTTCTTGGCGCAGTTGCTGGTTATAATTTGTGGATTCTTCTAATCGAGCTTCTAAAGCAGCAATTTTTTCTTCTTTTATTTCAAGGGATTTCTTGAGAGTGGATTCTAATTTTGATTCCAAAAGTTTGTACCTACTATCCAAACACAAAATATGGTTCATCATTGGAGAATAGAAAATAATTTGTAAAGATAATTACCAAAAATCGATGTGATAAGCTTTTTAAAGGCTTTTTAAGAGATAAATTTTAATTCCTCTTACTGCTTGAATTTGGTTTAAAAAGTATCCCTAGTCAAGAAGCAATGATAACAGCAAAATCAACGAGTGAACAGAGCTCCAGTAATATGTCCCAGATTGTCAAAAGCAACAATTTATGCTCAAGAAAGAAGTCTGAAGATTTAACTCCAAAATATTTTTTTGTTTTACAAGATTAAAGTCAGTTGTAATGACTTTAATGGATTTGTCATGTCACATTTGTACTTGCTATTAATATTTAAGTACAGTATTTATACTAAGGCCAATGAACAGTTAAGAATTAAAATCCACCGAGGCCATTATTAAGAGTAATTATAGCAAAAACGGTAATGACATGCCTGTAATATAGTATGGCAATAGGGAGATAGATTTGACTATTAATATTCTGGTCACTTTCTGAAATGATGGGAGTATGTGAAAAAAATTTTTAAAAAGGATGGCACATGAACATAATTTGAGTGTCTCATAAACCAAAAATTAGGATTAACCCTTTTCTTATACCTAGGTATCATGAAGACAAAACCAAATAAAAATTTGAGTATATATAATTTTATCACATTCTTTACTGTAATTTGTATATGCACATATTTCTGCTTAATCAGATTTTAACTATACTGAATATAGAGATATTGTAACTATACTGAATATAGAGAATAAATCTCATTCATGAATGTTGGTATTGGCTTAAGCCAACAAGTATTTTTAATGTATTTCATAATGATTTTGGATATGTTTAATGCTGTGATATCTAGGTTGTTTGTGAACTATACTGAAACTAATGCAGAGTAAGCAGAGAAAAGTAAAATCTCAGGTGAGATGATGAATGGGAATACTCAATACAAAATAAATGGCTAAAAGACCTAAAAAGAAAACCCTGAAAAAGAAGTATATCCAAAAAGAAAACACAGGCTAACATGGCTGCTTAAAAAAAAAAAAAAAGAAAGAAAAAAATGCTCATATTATAATTCTACCACCAAACTTTGTTGATTGCATTTTAATATCTATTCACATTCAATTCCACAACTGGCCTATTTCTCTACAGCAAAGTAAGTTACTTGGTAACAGCTATATCGTCAAAGGAAGTCAGAAGGAATAGTATTAGAAAAGGAGAAAGATGAGACTAATACAAGAATTACAGGCCATCATCTAAGACTGATATATGTGATTCCAAGACAGAAAAAATGGAAGATTAAATGAATCAATGTTTGTGAACCTTTCTTTGTGACATAAAAGCTTACACACTAAGAAAGAAGCTGATTTAATGGCCTAAGATGCTTCTTTACTCATTTCCCTAAATCTAATCATGGTTATCATTCGCTCTCCATCTCATCACATTCAGTGCTTTCATCATATAAACAGGTGCACAATGAATGTACCATATCATGCCTTTCATCTTCCGTATCTCTGAAAGAACTGTTAACATCTTTATGTTTTTATACAGCTGTTTCTGTCTACGTGAAATGCCCTTTGCCACTGTTTCCACTTTGAAAACTTCTGGCCGCCTTTATGGTTTCAGCTGAAGCACTATTGCTTTTTTGATGCTGAATGAGCAGCAGATTAAAAGAGCTCAATTAACTCTAGCTAAATGTATGAATTAAAGTTTGGAAAGAGATGTCAAAAAAATAGGAAGGGGCCAATGAGACTCAGATTAATAAATGCATATCAGACTCAATTAGATCAGCTGTATGGTTTAACTCTGTATTTTCTTCTGCCAAGAGCAAGCAGAACATAACAAGTAATCTAAAGTGGCGCATATGTGGTATCTACTGAAGAGTGAATTGTAATGACACTCAACTTTCTGATTTAAACAAATATTTTCTCATGAAATATTCAAAGTGTTACTCAATAATGGTTGCCTGACCTGAACCAAATGTTAGAATAAGTGCCTAAAATTGTTATTCCACAATTAAGCTTTTAAGTAAATTCACTTTTAGTATTCTCAAAAGCACATTAGCAAATGCCAAATAGTAAAAGCATTAGTTTTTCTTTTCTTTGCTTTTTTTTTTTTGAGAGAGGGTGTCTTTATAAGTCCAGACTGGCCTTAAACTCACTATGTAGCCGGGGCTGGCCTTGGAACTTGTAGCAATCCTTCTGCTTGTGTCTCTCTCTCTTTTTTTTTTTTTTTTTTTTTTTTTTTTGGTACCAGGGATTGAACTCATGACCTTGTACTTGCCAGGCAGGTTCTTATGCCACTGAGCTAAATCCTTGGCCCAGTCTCCCAATTTTGAAGCTGCATGCATATGCCATCATGTCTGGCTTCTTAAATTTTATATATTATTCTAATACATTAATATATAATATACATAACAATAATGGGTAGGTAATAAAATGTTATAAAAGTTCCAATGAATGAAAATGTAGTCTATATAAAATAACATTCTTAACAATACAGAACTGCTAGCTGGAATCAAACGGACCAGTAAGTGCTAAATAGTACAGTTAGCTGAAGATCAGATGAAATCTATCAGAAACTGATAGATTGTAACTACCATGGAAATACAGAAATAATCTTTAGATCTATAATCATTTTAAAATTGAAGAGTATATAATTTATCTTGTTTGTAAAGCCTGTGTTTTTCATATCGTTTCTATTATCTTCCCTTTTTTCACACTTTTTCTCCATTTCTTTGTGACAAAATCAAGTACTGAGCCATTTAAGCACATGATTCAAGTGAAAAATAACTTGCTTAATTATTTTATGAGGTCTGTTGTTGACATTTCAACTTTTATTATAGCCTCTGATCTTCTGCTACATGATGGCAACCTGTTTTATGACTGGATTTGTAACTATTATAAATGACAACCTGTTTTGTAACTGTATTTACATAACTTTTTTGCTTTTTCATATAGATGATAGAGTTGTCTTTGATTCGTTTTTTTTTTTTTTTAGAGAACTTTCTCTAAGGGAAGAAATGTCTTCTGAGTTAGTGTAAGTGTTTTCTCCAGATAGTGTAGGAAAGAACTTGAGTAAAATAATAATTTCAATTTTTTCCAGAAAGTACTCACCTGTCATCAGTACTTTGCTCATCATGTAAGAGTCTCTCCTTATTTAACCCTATCTTCTCAAGCTCATGAGTTAATTTTTCAAGATCATTGTTCATTTGTTGAGTCTTCAATTTTTCACTCACCAAATCCTTATTTTAAAAGGAATGTACAACTAAGTGACAATAATATGAAAATGCCAAGATTCTATTTACTATCATCCAGGAGTATATATAATTTGAAACAGGAATGAAATAAGTGTTGTCAATGAACCGTTCTATTATTACTAAAAAGTAATTAGCAATGAAGTTAAGCACAGATGAAACAATTCTTTCTTTTCTCATGCTAATTCTTTTTAACCCTAATGTTAAAAACTAAAGGGAGAAACTCTTGTGAATATTCATCCATGTCAGGTTTGTAAACTTAAGGGAAAATAACCCACATTTCCATTGAGTCTTTAATACTGGACAGAAACTTTAATACATATCTCTTATTATGAAAGTACCCTGGGTAACATACTGCTTTTCACAAGTTTCTTTCTGCAGGTGGAAAAGCTGAAATACTGATTTCAAGAACTAGATGTTCTTAGAAATTCAGGCACAAGAACTTGTTTATGTCTGCAAAACTACAGAGCTTAACAGAAAGAAAAAACAAAACAACTAAGTCACCTTAATGCCTTTCTAGCAGAAAGCCAAAATGCCCAAAGTGACTTTCGGCCAAAATGATAAAATACTTTTCCAATGCATTTCAAGGGTTATCAAATGGTGTATTGTTTCTCCCCACCCCCAAGGGCAACATACTATCTTACCTGCATCAACCATGCTTTATAAAACATATTGTCAACTTGCTCTTACAAATTTCAGAATTATTCTGTTTTATTCTGTAGGGTCTCACTTTTAAGGCTAGCCTTAAACTCATTTGCAACCCAGGGTGTCTTGGAATTCTGAGAAAATCTTTTGCCTCAGAGACCTGTCTGCTGGGATCACAGATGGGGGCCATAACACCGGGCTCAGTACACAGATCATGCACTCTTTAAGTTGAAACTAATTTGCATTCTCTCACTTCTTAAAATTCATGGGGTCCTAGAATCTTACAGATACGGATTTGAATCTAGAAATTCAACTCTGCTGTTTATTTGCTGTGTAATCTTCAATTAATGATTCTGAAATCCTTTTCTAATATGAAAAAAAAATGGAGATAACACCAAAAAGGAGTACTTGTAGAGTATATACATATATGTAAGTTCAACTTATATGCAATTCCTTAGCAAAGTACTTAATACACAGCACTCAATAAACACTAGCTGTAAAGCTTCTTGTATTTAGCATTCAATAGAAGTACTTCAAATATTGCAAAATGAACATTCAAAATTCTAATGTAATTTACTAATGAGCTACCGGAAAGAAACTTTGTCACTACAAATCTTCAAAAATAAAATTTATATTTTATAAAATCTTACTATTTAACTATACTACTTATTACTACAAATCTTATAAAATATAATTTTTAAGAGTAACAAAAATAGGAGACTTGGAAGTTGACTTTACTGATGGCTCCAGTAAAACAAATCTTGAGTTACAATATAATTTGCCTTAAACTTCAGTAAATATATTTACCTCGCGTAATGTAACCAAAGTTTTTATATCAATAGTTGCTCTTTTCACAAGTTCCTTATTTTCTTTCTCTAACTCTTTCAGACGAACACAAGATTCTTTATATATACCGATTTCTTTGAATAGGGTTTTGTTTTCTTTTTCCAAATTTCCAATCTTCACATTATTTTCTTCTAATGTGGTATCTTTTATTTCGGCTTGCTGTCGAAGTCTCTTATTTTCCTTCTCTAACTGTTTCTTATCCTTTTCTAGCTGTGATGTCTCTTGCTCTAATGATTTATTTTCTTTTTCCAATTGTTCTAGTCGTTTGCTAGATATTTTCAGTTCTTCTAGGTTTTTTTGCAATGTCTGATTTTCCATTTCCAAGTCCTGAAGTTCACTCTCTAATTGCTGGATTTTTTTATTGCTATTTTCCAGAGCTTTCTGTAGCCTTTGATTTTCTGTATCTAATCCCTGGTAGCTAACTTCCAAGCGCTCTGTTTTCTTGAACGATGCTTTCATGAGCTCCAAACCCTTTTTAAGTTGCTCTTTTTCACTTTCTAGCTCTTTGTTTTCTAGTTGTAGTTGAGCCATTTTCATGCTTGCACACTTCAGTGACTCCACATTCCTTCGTAGTTCTAAGTTTTCCTCATCAAGTTGAGAATTCTCTTTTTCTAGTGATTCTAACTGAAATGTAAGGTTTTTAAAGCTATCCAATGTTTTTTTCAATTTTCTATTTTCTCTTTCTAGCTCTGAATTTTCTTGTTCGAGGGCTTCTATTTTTTCACAAGTAATTTTTAAATTTGTTATCTTTTTCTGTAGTAATTCATTTTCTTTTTCAAGATGATGTAACTCATTTTCAAGTTCTTCTGCTCGTTCTCCTTTTTCTTTATAATGTTCCAATTCTTTTCTAATCTGTCTTTTTTCAAATTCAATCTTGCTTAGCTTGCTACTTGTTTCCTTGATTGATTCATGTAGAATTCTGTTTTCTTTTTCAATGTCTTTCACTCTTGCTTCAGCACTTATTTGGGAACGCTGTCTTAAGGAAGACACTGTCTGATTTAGATGTTCATTTTCTTGTTCCATTATTTTAATCTAATTCAAAAAATAAACAAGAAAAATTTAAACTAGATGAGCAAATATAAGTATCTCACAGTTTTTACCTTCCAAAAATGAATAGGCAAAGAGCATAAAAGAGTGCTAAAGTGTAGGTGTTACTTCCAGTTCTGACAAGTATTTACTGAAAGACATCTGTACGTATGTATTGTTGGCTCATTAAAGTGTATGCCTTTAGTGAGTTCACAATTTAACAGAATAGTTAAGAGACATGTGTTTAATATCAATCAAAATGATCTTCAGATTTATAGTTAACATGCTTTAAATTCATATATAAATACAGATCAAATATGTACACATAAATACTTGAAGACATAAGGTTTTACTTTCACCAAATAATTTTTTTCTTTTGAAACAGTCTCCCTATGTAGCCCAGGCTGCCCTTGACCTTAATGATTCTCCTGCTTCAGCCTCCTAGTTGTGAAATAGTGACATCACATTGGCTAAACATTTTTGTAATTGCTATGCAAGTAATTTCTCAATAAATATGTGCATATGTGTTTATGTAAGTATATTCATTTCTAAAAAATATTGCTAATTAGGAGTAATAAAATCACACAGTACTTTTCTGTAGTATATTTGATAACACATTCATTCAGTTTGTTAGTATGGCTTAATATAACTTAGCTCTAGAACTTTTGTTCTCTTACTGGACTTGGGTCAATATAAAGCAAATAAAAGAAATTTCAAAATGGCAGATCACTCAATTATCTAGTTCTCACTTTCCTCAAATATAAGAATGATCAATGAAGAATTGAAATCTGATAGTATCTGCTGCCACCAAACGTCTCTTTTTTACAGTACAACTGCAATTTTCCCCAGTTCGGTTCAGCAAAGACTTAAAAACCTGCAGTCCCGCTCCATAGGTATTGCACAATTTTATTCTAGATTATTATGAAACATAGTGGCAATTTAAAACTCTCTAGGATGTCTCTCCATCTTTCCTAAACTATACTGGTTAGAAAATGAGGTACGGTTATACAGTAGCTCCTCCATATCCATGAGAATAAATCCTAAGATCCCAGTGGATGTCTAAAACTGCATTGTACTAAACCATGTATGTACTCCTGTTTTTTCCTTTACATACCTATAATAAAGTTTAATTTACAAGTTAGGTACATCAAGTAATTAACACTATTTATTATAAATCTCCCTTAGCATATTTTTCTTATTCAGTGAAGAACATTCACTTTTTCACTTAAATTTAGCAGCTACAACTTTTCACTAGAACTTAATGGCTTTTATTTGATATATCTGAACTGTTAGTATTATTACTCTTAATATTTGGGGATATTATTAAGTAAAATAAAGCTAACTTGAGAGTATGCACTGTGACACTATGACAGTTGATAAGAATAGCAAATAACAGGGCAGGACACACAGCATGAATTCTCTGGAAGTATGACTGACATCCCAGGCACAATGGAGTAGAAAGTCATGAGACATCAATCACACCACTTGGCACACAATTTAAAACTTACAAATGTTCATTTCTGGAATATGCCATTAAAAAACTTGGGGCTGTAGTTGACTATGTATAACTGAAATTACAGAAAGCAAAACTGCAGATAGTATGAGGGAATTACTGTATTTACCTTAAATAAGAATTCTAAGATACTTTCTTTTAATGTTACATGAATATTGTTTGCATATACTTTAACATAACTTTTGGTAATAAATTTAAAAATATTCTTTGATTAAGTAAGAAATTCATGAACCTGTCTCTCTGAATTTTCTCTAAGTGTTTCAATTGTTTTTTCAAGCTGTGCTTTCTCCTTCATTAGATCCTTGCTTAAATTCTGACAATTCTGAAGACTTTGCTTTTCTTGAATAATCTCATTTTCAAGAATTTCAACCTAGGGAAAATTAAATCACAAAGCAATATATTACATATTTTACAACACAGAAAATGCAAAGCAAAAGATAACCACTGAATAAAGCACAGAAAGCAATTTTAATAACCAAATGATAAAACTTAACAGTTTACTATAGCAATTAGGTGCCACTGCATTCTAATTTTAGTAGCTATATAAAATAAGCAGACATGACTTTATTCTCTGCATGTTGTAAGGCAGATTTCTAAGCACAAGGACAAATCTAAATGAAGAAATGCTAATGATATGCTATATGAGTAACGCATAAATCTTACTGAAAGCTTCTTTTAGACTAAGTGGATTTATAATGTAAAATTTTACTTATAGCCATGGAATTTTAGTGAACATGAGGAGAAAGCACGAAGGAAATGGTGACGGCATGAAGGAAAAGATCAGAAATTGTAGTGTATGTTCAGTGAGGAAGCAAGAATGGACTTACTTTAAAATGAGGTAAAAGGAAGAATAAGACTAGAGAAAAATGAACAAAACAGCAACAAATACTTCTATGTTAAATGTAAATTTATTTTGATCGATGCACTTTAAATGTCACTAGTTAATAATAAATGTTACTAGTTAATAATATGGATCAGCAATTACAAACTAAGAACATGCATAACTTCTGATGACACAACTATGTAACATTAAAATTAGATAATTTAAAAAGTAAGAAATGATGTTACAATTTGGATCTGGAATGTTCCTCATAATCTCATGTGTTAAAGGCATACTAATTTCCCCTCTTAAATGTCTCCTTACTGTTTCAACTTACGGAAAATTACTCTCACATACATATTGCTATTATAAGAGGAATACATTTTTGTTTACCTTTTTACTTAGTCTTTGATTTTCTTTTTCAAGTTTTAGGATTTTGGAAGCATTGCCTTCTGCAGAATCCATTATACTCCGAAGCTCTTCTACGGTTTTTGTCAAACTCTGGTTCTCCATCTCCAACTTCAATAACTTACTTGATGTCAATTCATTTACCTCATGGCCCAAGGATTTCTGTGGTGCTGTAATTTTGAAAATATGCCACTGGTGAAACTGTTTACTCAAATATTTGAGTGTTAATGTTAATCCATACCTCATCTTTATAAAATTTAGAAATTATGTAAGTAGACAAAATTTTTAAGGAAACAAAAATGAAGAATTTTTAATATGCAAATTTTGGCCTGATGAGACAACAGTTCCAGTTCTGGTTTCATGAGAAATTAATTAGCTACACTGCACATAACCAATCTCAGGTTGCTAAAACTTTAGGTACTACCCTGGAATCCCACAGGGTTATTGCATAACTCAAGAAATACGAACCGTACCCTATGCCAAACTTTGAAAAATTAAAAGCCAATGTGAGGAACTACTGTCGTCATTTTACTGAAAATAAAGAACTGATGTTAGACAAAAGAGCAGAAAAAGCATTTTGTAGGTAGACTTTAGAATAACATTTTAAAAAGGAAATAAAACTTGGTGTCTAGTTCTGTAAATGTTTTACAGTGAGCCAAAAATATTTATTTTTAAAAACCTTAAAATAGCAGCCTTCTTAAATTATTTTGAGGATCTCAAAATACTAGGACAGACAGAGGAAGAAAGATCACTTCAGTACAGGAGTTCAAGGCTGGTTTATGTAGCATATCAAAGCCCCATCTTTTAAAAAAAATGGATTTTAAAGTGAAACATGAAAAAAAAAAGAAACATGATACTTAAAATTCATTCTGAAACTTCAGATTTTAAGACAAGAAATGGATGAAAGTGTCAGAAGGTATTTCTAGGTCAAAATAGAGGTATAGTATATCATCTCACAGTTAAAGTTAACAAAGCCTCAATATTTTTTTCCAGCTTTTTAGTTATAGCATCATTAGATTTTTTGTTTTTGTTGTTGTTTTTTTTTTTTAATGTGAAAACTGGAGACTTTCAAGAGAACATGGCAGATAGATAACAGCAGCTATGGAGGCTGAGATAGCCAGTTTAGAATCCAGGAATGTGCGGTGTGAAGAGTCCTAAGCAAGGGGAGATATACCCTGCCGACCCAGGAACGAATTAAACTGAGAGAAACCAACTGGAAATGCAATCCCGGTGCTGTAACTGCAACAGATAAAATCTCAGCGCCTAAGCTGGAACCTGCGTGATTTGAATTTCCTGCCGCCGCCGCTGCGTCTGAATCAGCACTGCAGGGAGAGAGAAATGAAAGCTCTGAGGGCAGGAATCGGCAAACAGAGTTGAGAGCACGACTGGCAGGGACCCCTGCATCGACCTGCAGTGAGTGCGAGGAATGGGGACCCTTCCATGGACTAGGAGGCTCCAATAGAGGACATTCTGGGACCTGGGACATACTGGCAGACTAGCCGGAACAGGATGCTGCAGTGACTTTAGTCGCATATTCCCCTCTCAAGCAGGATTGGTGGGGAGCACTTGGACTGGGAGACGCCGCTAAGACCCAGTAGGTGAGCCCAAACAAGGTCCCTGTGCCTGGTGGTGCACCCTAGCAGTGAACCTTCAGTAGGCTGACCTGGAGGGGTGGGCCCAGCAAAGGCTGCCCAGGTCTGTGTCTCCCTAGTACACTGCAGTGGGTGGGAACACCTAGCTGGCGGATTCAAACAAACTGTAACTGACAAAGAAAGAAACTGGGCCTCCTGTATACGCTTGTATGGAAGAAGCAAAAAGTATGGGAAGAGGGAGCAACAAGAAAGGGTCCTCAGCCCCCAATCCTGAGAACACTGATCCAGGAAAGGTAAATGCAAAGGAGAATAAGGACAGAAAACATGCAATATCAGACACGGCACCAATAGAAATAAAGCGGTATCTCCGGAGCCTCATAGATGAGTTCAAAAGTGAAGTATTTAATGAAGTAAACCAAGATATAAGTAGAATAGTTAGAGACATGCTAAGCACCGCTCACAAAAAAACAGATGGTTGAATGGAAGAACAGAAAAAAAGGGAAGAATTGTTTGATGGAGAAAATAGAGAAAACATAGAATACGTGAAGCAGGTTCAAAGAGATTACCAGGAAACTACAAACTCTATTGAAAGCTGGCATAACAGCTTGAAAGAAACTAAGGATACATTATCTGAACTGGAGGACAGATTTGTAATGTGGGAGCACGAAATGAAAAACTTCTTAAAAATAACAAGAAAACAAACAGCAATAATACAAAGGCTGGAAGATGATACGAGGATCTATAACTTAAGAATTAAGAACATAAGAGAAGAAGTAGGGATACAAACAAATGGACTACAAAGGCTATTCAGAGAAATAATCCAGGAGAATTTCCCTAATTTAGCAAAAGGTAAAGATACTCAGATGTATGAGACATACAGGACACCAGCCACCTACAACTCAAACAGTGCTACACACAGGCATATAATAATCAAAATTCCAGAAATCCAATATGAGAATAGAATATTAAAAGCTGTCAGAGACAAGAAACAGACCATTTTCAAGGGAACACCCATCAGAATTACAGCAGACTTCTTGGTACAAACCATCAAATCACGAACAGCGTGGAGGGAAATAATTCAAGCTTTGAAAGATAATAACCTCCAGCCAAGATTGATATATCCTGCACAATTGATGGAAAAACAAGGTGTTTCTAGGATAAAGGGGAACTAGGGGAATTTGCAACCACCAATTCAACTCTATGGAGAATACTGCAGGACATTCTAAAAAAGAAAAATACCAAGATTCCAGAAACAGTGGCAGAGAGGCCACAATGAATGGAGCAGAAAGTGAAATGAAGAAGACAAACTGACAACTAATGACAGAAAAACAGCTCAACAGAAATGAGACAGAGAAGATTGGATGGTAGGAACTGCTATTTTGGAGAAAATAAGTTATCATAATACCTAGTGCTGATTTAATATCATCTTGTTTTGAAGTTCCATCAAGCTTTTGTTCTTCTGTCTCCATCGGTCTTAACATGTTGTATCTGATTGGATTTTATTATATGTGATAATATAAACAAAAACTTTTATAGACAAGGAGATTATACAGAAACCATTGTTCATTTTCTGTTAGTTGATTCTAAATACCCTGTAATACTGTCATTCTCTTGAATGGCTTTACATTGTCTTGGTATGTTTGATGCTACACTATATGAAGTTATACTCAAAGATTTCAAGGAAAGAGACACTACGGTAACTACTTTTATGTCGGGATATCTTGTGATGAAACACTATTTTGCTTAAATGGTTATGTTCTTACCTGTCCTGTTTTGTTGTTATGCCCTCTTTTATCTCAATCTTTTTTTCATTATTTACTTTTTTATTTTTATCTTTTTTAATGAAGGGAAAAATAAATAAAAATAGCAGGATATATTCTAGTAACCCACTTGATTTCCTATTAACTTGATTTGAAAACCTGTATTGCTCTCACCATGTTGTTTTAACTGATTTTCCTCTATTCTGTTTTGCTTGATAGTACCAAGTTCGAGAGTATAGGCAACAACTGTGAATACAGTAAGATTTATTATGATGCCCATTCTGGTTTGACTATTATCTTCTTTTGAAGTCCTGTAATGTCTCCAATGTTTTGGTTTTACTGGTTTTATTCTTTACTGTTTTGTTCAATTTTATTACAACTGATGATATAGGCAATTCTTTTTAAGATATCAAGAGGCATTATGGTAAGCATCACCTTGTATTTTGTTTTCACATTATGTATTATGTCCATCCTTTTGATTTGACTGACACTGTTTTGTTATGTCACATTTGGTTTTATTCTCTTCAAAAAAAGTAATAAGAACTGTAGGAGTAATAAAACCCAAAATGTGTAATTGTCATTGTACAAAAGAGAGGAAAAGAAAGTGCTCTAAAGGATATAATTGCATGTATATTTAAGCGTATAAGACAGATAACCATATTACTGAGTTTTTGTTGGATCATTGAACAGAAATGTTTGCAGTCTCATTGTTTGAATGTCCATTTTATATGCTTTAATTTTGTAACTTGAACAACTATTTCTAAGATGACAATATGTAATCTATTAACTAGTGATTTCCTACTGTTTATTTTTTTCTGAAATTCTGTATAATTTGTACCCTTTTTCTGTTTTTTTTTTTTCTTCTTAAAATTAAAAAAATAAAAGAAAATTGAACGTAAGGCCTTGTAGATGCTTGGCAAGCATTCTACCAGTAAGCGGTGTCCCCAGACCTCTTTCTAACATTGAGGTAGGTCTCATGATGTTGCCCAGGCTAACACTGAACTCTCGGCCCTCATCCATTAAGTAGCTGGGTTTACAGGTTAACCTTATGTTTAACATTTACTGACAGTCACTGAGTTTTTAAATTTTGTTAGTTTCCCAAGTCTGATTTGTTTTGATCTAGAATAGAATCTATTTAGCTCACTGAAAATGGTTTATATTTAACAGTAAACTTACAGAATACATTGTATAACTGGAAACCATTAAGGTATTTAAAATAAATTTTTCAATACAATAAACACCACTTTTTTTCCATTTTGGGTAAAAGTTTTTAAAAAGTGAGTAACCTAAGCATGCTAAAAGTATTTTAAAATTGCTTTTTTCCCATCATCATCATCATCATCATCATCATCATCATCATCACCATTTCTCTGTAAATCTTATAAATGGTGTTAAAACACAGTACAAGACAATTGAGATATACATGATTCTTAAATGTAGCATTATTATTAACCCAACTTGAATTAGATTATTTTAACAAATAACAAGCTCATTTATTGAATTAAAAATATAAACGTCAACATGTTTTGTGTTTATTCAAAGTACATATACACTGGTTTGATCCAGGGAATCAAATTATTATTTTCTCTAGTTGTAACTGTATAATGAAACAAAGAATCATAGAAATTCTCTGCATTAAACTTTATTTTTGCTTTTTTTGACATCGGGCCTCAACACATTCCCCTAACCTGCCTTGAATTGGAGATTATCCCAGCCCAGCCTCCCTAACACCTGTGAGGACTAATGAGCACCACTGTGACTGGCTCTCTATATTAATCCTGAATGCACACTTTAATTTAATAACTATTTTTTTTTACT